CTGTTAGCCGCCTGCCCGCTAGATATTTGGCCGATTACGTGAATAACGAGTAGATTTATAACCTAACCCAACCGGTAAGAATTTACTGGTACGTTTTTATGATAATTCTATATAGTTGACAGGAGTTTAAAAAAATTCCATTAAAATATTTGATATTTTTATTCCGCTCTCCGATTTTATATTACTCACGGATTTCAATGTTAAACCAGTGATATTACGATTTCGTATGCCCCATCATTAAGGGGATGTAGAAAAAACGTGTACATTTCTTATACAATGTTAAAAAATTAACAGTTACTTCGACAGCGTCATTTACAACTAAATTTAATGAATGATAGAGATGCACGAGGTACAGAAAAAGATCTAGAATTTATTTTCCTTAAATTTACGATTTATGTATCCGTTGTCATAAAAATTTGTCTTTCCACTTTTTTCCCGAGACTACAAATATTCGAGTACAAAGTAACAGGTTCCGACTTATTTCTACTTAAGAAGTAGTTAAATAATTAAGCGATTAGGGAATTGAGGACGTAAACAAAACCCTGATGAAAGAGCCAGAATATTACTTAAACAAAAGCTTAACCGAACCAATCTATAGCCGAGTACAGTGGGGACTGATTTCTTCGAAATATTGTATTAGATGCAATAAAGACAGAAATTTTTCCATTTTTTTCTATGGCGCTTTTCTCTCGTTGGTGAGTTTGTTTCTCTTCTAGTTTTAAGTTTCTAAGGTGAATGGTGAGGAAACCGTTGTCCTAACAAAACACAAGCCCCAAACAAAAATATAATAAAAAGCAAAAAGAAGAGTAAATAAAAATAATGCTCAGACTTGGTTCCTTACACTACGCCTTCATACGCTTAAATAGCATATACGTAGTCGGAAAGCTCCAGCCTATCGGATACCTATCAACATACGAGGGCGACGATCGGCAAAGGAATTCTAGTATCGACCCAGGAGCGCACCCCGGGGTCGACGAGTGACCATCAACCTATACGAGGGCGCCCAGGATCGGAAGTCTGAGATCGACGGGCATTACGTTGTTGTACTCATATTATTGTTGCAGCCGGGATCCCGACATTTCAAAGTTATTTGTAAGAAACTATTTTGATGTTATTAAACGGATAAAAATGGGAAAACCCTGTCTCTGTGAGTTCTGCTGCGCCCACGCGACAGTGCTGACCGCGAGGCCGGCTCGACGTTTTTTACCCTTTTTGGCTAACCCCACATTAAAGAGGATAGCAAATGCTGTAGGATTGGCCTCAAACGCTCGTTTAATCATCCTAGTGATTTTGCCATCAAGGCCTGGGGCTTTGTTATCGGTGAGCAAACGGATGGCATTCGAAACCTCAATGTAGATGAAGTTATGGTCATTTTCTGTGTTGGGCGGAGTGAGTGTAGAACTTCTGATGACTGCTTGTGTATTGTCATCCTGTCAACCAGACCAACAATGGGCGACCGGGTAATGTGAGAAACGGGGCTCGATGTATTCAGACAGACCTTCTTCCGAAAAATTCCTGAGTTTTTCGACAGGTCCAGATTTGATTCCAGGTCTCCCAGAGCAGTAGGCTGACCTGGCCATCGGGTCATTGTTCTGGATAATGATGGATGATAGTGATGGTACTATCGATGTTTTCATATACGATAGTAGAAAAATATTTCCAGCCATTACTTTACAATTAAATGAATTAATTCTGATTATAGAAATTTTTTGTTCACTTTTTGATAAAAGCTTACTTATTGTTTCGTGTGATTGCAAAATACAACTTTTGTAAAATAACGGTATTAATTTTATTTTACGTTTAAAATGTACTTTTTTATGTGTAAATATAATAAATTGAAATTAAGTGAGAAGAAACAAGAGTCAGGTAGCCACAACGTTCAATGATTTCTTCCGATATGACGTCAAATATGACATTTTGCTTCCGATTAATAAATTGCTAGAATATATTTAACAGGAATATTTGAAAATGTATTATATTAGGTTTGTAACTACGTATTTATATATTTTTTAATCTAAATAATATTATTATTTTTCTTTAATTGCAAAATTTCAAATTTATAAAAGCCAAATTAATAAGTTGGGCTATTTTTAATATCGCTGTAATTGCCATCAGTCATTAATCAAAATGGCTGAATGATGTTCTTTATTTTGAATATTTATTATTATTTTTTTTTCATTTGTAAGTATTTGTGTTATTAGGTTAATTTTATTAATGTCATTAAAACTTGTATTACTCCGATTAAACGATTATCGTTAAGCTTATTTTGTGATAATATATTTTGAATTTTTTAATTAACGAATAACTCTCGCATTTGACGTGAAGCGATGACAAGTAGTACCACGTGTTTAATTATTGAAATAGATTATAAATTTTTCATTAATAAACATTTTATCTCTCTTGGACACAATTAGCATTCTTCCTCGATAGTAGTGCCTTTATGAGTCAAAAAATTCAAAATTATTTGCTAATTCTTCAAGAGATTTTTTAACCTTTACTAATTTTCGTTGTGTCTTTTGGTTTGACCAGGCTCATGCAAAAATTGATCCTATTTTTACAATATCTCGATTGCTTATTAGGTAAGATTCTAGCTCTGAATAAGTTTAGTGCTATATCTATTGAGAAGTAGAATCTTAATAGAAATAGAACTATATATACATACAAATGTAAACCAGGGGTCTCAAACTCAAATGATGCAAAAGGCCAGTCAAATAGATGTATATCAGATGTGAGCTGTATTCAATAGTATTCGGTAAACTAAAACATACTAGGAAGGTTGTGGCCAAAGTTTTCATCTCTAAAACGTGAACATTGAGTGCCACTATCTTGTAAGTGGTGCTTGACGTTTGGCATTCATGTTTTAGAGATGAAAACTTTGGCCACAACCTTGCTACTGTAATATAAAAAAGAGTTTTAACAAAGGCCCTTTTGTTGCCAGACCTTTATGACTTACATAAGCAGTTAGATGTTTGAATTTTTTCTGTTTTAATTCCCACAAGATGTTAGAAACATTGATTTTTAGAAAAGAGATTGTTGAGGCCATGAGCTGGATGTGAAGCCTTAATTGTCTTTATCTGGCTCGTGGGCCTCCAGTTTGTGACCACTGTTGTAAACAGTAATTTTGATTTGATGTATCATGTAGCAACTGTGTGCACTAAATATTTACTGTATACAGAGCTGTCAAGAGCTTGTATGGGTCCCAAAGATAGATTGGGTCTCTCTTTTGCCATTTTTTTTTTTTTTGAATAAATGAAATATTTAGAATATTTCTTCGTTAATAAATATTAGTCTTAAAAATTTTATTTTTTGTTAGTAAAAATAGCATTAATTTCTAGAGTTTTGTATGTTTCTTCAGGCCTGGGGAAAAATCTCCAGTCACCCCTCTTTGGCCTTAACTAAGTAACCTCATTAGTAACACCTATTTTTTTCTTGTAAAAAGGAAAACACTAATTTTAAATACTGTTTTAGGATGTTGTGCAAATATTTATTTTAAATTCATCAATTTTTACAAATCATTTCAATTTCAAGAAATGAGTCTGGACACTGTCTTGTGAAGAGTTGCTCCTAGACTTAACATTTTATTGGTTTTGTTTGGTTTATTTTAGTCTTTATTGGATCAGTTTAGGTAAATAGGTTTATTCACAATTTACTTTTTTGTTTTTTGATGGATGAAAAACAAATAATCACTTTCTACTGTTATCTTCTGTTTTTGGAGTAAAAATAAAGTTGTGGAATGAACTTTCCATAGGTAATTTTTCCAATTTCTTATTTTGTAGCTAGATGTAATTTCTTGTTACAAAAAGCAGTTTTAGTCTACTATTGATACCAAAAATAAACATATACCAATATGCTTATTTTTGGTGTCAATAGTAGACCAACTTTAATCCAGTACTTTCTAGCCATGTACCTTTTCTAATATTTACAAACCTATCCAATAAATTTTTCTTATTGCATAGGTGACACCTTAGCAGGGGCATTTTTGGAAATGTATGGCATTTCCCAAGCTGGTTTCATATAATCAATCAATTAACCTGCTAAATATTTCCATCACACAGTTAAAAAAACTTATTTATTTTATTTCACATTTTGTAAAGATTACCAGATTAGGCTCTGCTGTGTAACTGAATGTTATAGTATGAGTGTTTTTCGTCATCATAATCAGATGCTCATAAGGAAATCTGCAGCAGAAGACAGTTAATATAGAGGTTCCTGGGGAGAAGAATACTGGAAGAGGCTTTGTTATAAATAATGACTTTTTCTTGAAAAAATGCACGACAGCTTCTTTTTATTCTTATTTATAATAAAACATTCAATATAATACATAAAAAGCACATATTGAAATTTAGTATGACTCAAATAATGCCATGCATGCCCCAATAGAAATAAGTACACAAATGTGCTATTATACATTTCATCTAAAATAACTTCTTTGCTTGCTTCATAATTAGTGGCTAGGCTGTTGTAAATGTATTTTTAAAATTATAAAATTGTATTATCCATAATACAAAAATGATATCTATGTGAAATATTGATGGCTGACTTGTTTAAAGACATGAGACAAATAAAAAATCAGAAAGTGCATTGAGTCTTCTGTGCGCCTATAAAATATTTTCAGTAATAACAAGCAAAACATTTGAAGATTAGAACAACAATTGCATACAATATAGTGAAATGTAATAGTGAGAACCTATGAAGCTATCTTTGGAGTTAATGTTTCACAACCATAACAGGGTCCCAGTACTTCCTGTTCAGAGAGAAGAGTCTTTCCAATAAAACTTACTATTTGAAAAGTTATAATTGCTTAATTAAACTCAAAACTTTTATTATGAAACTGTAATTGTTTGCTTCAACATTTCCTTGATAAAATTAGTGTTATAAATGATATATTTAATAATTTATTTGAAGAAATAAGAAAATTTGTCTTTGTGAAATTCACTTTTTCTATATTTATGTTTTACAGAAAACTTTATTTTGATGGATTTACTTGATGGATAATTATATGAAACAAATCTTGAAATTCATATAAATATGAGTTTAAATTGTAAACACGACTAGTAATTGAATTAGCCAAATCTGTTAAGATATTTCCATAAGTTAAAAAATGGTTATGCATTGTCCTTTGTAAAACTTCCTAGATCTATAGTAAATTGTATAGAATAATCAGAAATGCTTTTTCACCATTTTCATGCTGATATTCTGGAAAATAGCAAAATCTTTAGATATTCCATTATGAAATAATTTTTTAACCAGAGCTGTGGAGTCAGTAGACTGAGTTCTTGACTCAGATTCAGATTAATAGAACTTTAGAAAGTGACTATGACTCCTGCCTCTAAATAATTTGAAATATACTTTAATTATATTAATCAAAATTGGCATTTCATCACTACTAAGTAAATCATCAGGCTACTTTTAAGCATTTCTAACTGAATCATCAGTCATTCCTATCAACTGAAAGTATTTATCTTTTATCACAGCTTTTTTTGTTATCATCACTATCACCTTTATCCTCAATCACCCATTGGCACAAAATGCTTTCTGTCGTGGTCATAGTAAAGCATTCAAAAATACTAGATTCAACCTGAGTCGTCTTAGCCATTTTTTAAAATAAAAATCACGAGGTAGAGTTGGTGTTTGTTCATTTTTACCAGCTCCAACTCCTCTAACAATGAATTTGCTTTTAATTCCAATACCGTAGTTCTCATTCAGCAGCAGAGACAAGGACTTTTCTTGTATGGAAGTTTCTCATTAAACTTTTATATTAACTGCTAACATAACCACCTTTCTCTTATTTATTTTAATTTTTAGTTTTTAATATTTATTTTTAATTAATTAATTTTGTTATATTTTAATGATTTTAAAATTTATATTTTATTTATTGTTTTTTAATATGATTGTTTAACTTTGTTCTATTTTAATAATAAATACACAGAAATCTTTTGAATCAGCAGATCAAAATATTTTTAATGTAAACCAACACAAATGTTTTTAGTCCTTTTCAAAAACCATCATCAGGCTGTTTACAAAAAAAGAATATATTTAAATTAATAGAACATCAAAAAGAATAAATTTAATTAGAAGAGTTTTTAAGCTAAATAAAATTTCAAGTACAAATATAAATTCAACATTATAATTGGTCAAATGTTTTTCTAATACAAACAGCTTTAACATATATAAACAATTAAATGTTTCTACTAACTTAAAACTGTTATTTTTGTTAGAATAACATAAATAGCTGTTTTAAGTTAGTAGAAATGTTTAATGAAATTAATTTAAGGACATAAAGCAAAAAGCATTATGTAGATATAAACAAAATTTACGTCATATAAATTTAATTATACTAAATTATATAATTATATCAGCATATTCATAATTTAGATTTGTTTAGGATTTCATACAATGATCTCCATGACCTGAACTTTCTGTTTTCATTCTTGAAGTTGAATTTGTATGATAATAATTTTGTTTATATTTGTTATTTGCTGTTTGTGATTAAAAAAAATTATTTTAACCAATTACAATGTCAAATATAAAGCATAACATTAAATTTATATTGCATTCAAAACTCTATTTAGTTTAAAAAGACTGTTCTAATTATATTTATTTATTTATTGATGTTCTGTTAATTTAGATATTTTTTCTTGTAAACAGCTTGATAATGGCCTTTTAAAAAGGCTGAACATGTTTATGTACATTAGAGTATTTTGACCTACCGATTCCAAAGATTTTTGTGTGGTTTATTACTGGTTTAATCAGTTTAAAATGTAAATAGCTAAATACTCAGTCAATTTTGTTAAGTCTGAGGATGACCCATTAATTGAGTTGAATGTTTGTAATTAAATATTTAGGTTACTACAAATGTTATAACAAATCGTAGACATTTTCAAGTCAACTAACATATTTTAAGAAAACTTAAACACTATTTAATTTGATATTCTTCTGTATTCTAGTTATATAACATACAGTTACATATATTTTTTCTCTGTTATGTTTGCTATTTATACGGTACAATGTAATTATCACTATACTTTCTTTGTTGGCAACATTGTTTCTGTTATTAATGTAGCTCTGTATCTTAATGTAAAAATGTTTATGAATGAATAAAACAACAAATACTGTAGATATAATTAAAATTTTTAAACTTATTTTACTGCTTTCTCCTAAATTAAAATTATTTAAATAAAAATTGCAGTTGTAATAAACAAAATTAAATAAAAAAAATTAGGTTAAGTAAACAAATTTGAAAAAAATTTTCATGAATAATGAGATTAATCATTTTTATTTTAATTTTCTAATACTGTATTATAAAATGTTTTAAACTGTGCTTAGTGTTTTATGAAGAAAATGTGATTAATAAAAGTGACATTATGATTATTAATGTGTATATTAATCAAAATAATATTTGAATTAACTTATACAGTTAACATAATAAATAATTTAAAAATAAGATGAAATTGACAATTTTAACAAGGTTAGATAAATTCTGATATATAGAATTAATTGAGTTATAAGATTTATAATTTGTTATCATTATTTAATGTGGAAGTTTATTTTAACGTTGATTGTATAATTAAAGTTAATTCATTTTAATTTCACCTAATATTATACATGATAAATATTAAATTTTTCTTGATTTGTTCTAAGTTACAGTTCATATTTTACTGATGTTTGTTTATTAATTTTAATAAATTAAAAAAAAATTTTTATTCATGTACTATAGAAAATAATAATTATTGCTTTTATTTATATACTAATGCTATTATGTGTAATCATACTAATGTACGAGTATATATATACAGTAATACCCTAAAGTTATATGATAGGTGGGTCCAACAAAAATTGCTTAAGTTGAATTCACATAAATTGAGGTACAACTTTGCATATAAATACATATAAATTTTCGTGTGAAATGTTCCCAATGCGTATCAGAGCAAGAGAAACACTGAAGATAGCAGATGGCAATGCTGTCAAATGAAAAAATCAACTGTGTAACTTTGAGTTCATGTAAGTCAGGGTATTACTGTATATAAATGTTTTAATATATTAAAAAAAAAAAAAAAGGTTGAAATTAATTAAATTATATTTTGTTTTACAGAAAACCTTTCAGTAATTTTTGATTTCAAGAATTAGTTTTACCAAATTTTGTAAAATTGAATACAAAATCAAAATGCCAGAAGTGTGTTTGTTTTCTCGAAATCGTAGACTTCATCCTGTGATTAGTTTATTTATTGGAATATTATTTGGTTTTTTGATTGCTGTTATGCTTCGATCTTTCATACCTCATCATCTCATGTCTGGATGTATTCATTATCGCATTAGATCAGTAAACAGAATAGTACAAGAAAATGTATATCATGAAAATATTGAAAACATATCTAAACAAGATAAAACATTACTTTTTATTGGTGTTATGACAGCTCAAAAATTTTTAGAAAGTAGAGCACTTGCTATATATTCTACATGGGGCCAAAATGTTCCAGGAAAATTACTATTTTTTTCCAGTGCCATTTCTAAAACATCATTGAAAATACCACTTGTGCCTTTAATTGGAGTGGATGATTCTTATCCTCCACAGAAAAAGTCATTCCTGATGTTGAAATATATGCATGACCATTATATTGATAAATTTGAATGGTTTATGAGGGCTGATGATGACATGTATGTCAGAATGGATAAATTAGAAAAATTTTTACGTTCAGTCAATAGCAGCAAACCTCAGTTTATTGGTCAGGCTGGAGTAGGGAAGGAGGAAGAATTTGGACAATTGAATCTTGAGCCAGATGACAATTTTTGCATGGGAGGCCCTGGAATCATCATGAGTCGAATGACATTAAAATTATTAGTTCCACATATTCGGTACTGTTTGAAACATTTATATTCCACACATGAAGATGTTGAAATAGGAAGATGTGTAAAGAAGTTTGTTGGAATTCCATGTACATGGTCATATGAAGTAAGTAGTAATTGCTATTTTAACCATTTTAATTTTAATAGTTACACACAAATTCAATGATACTGTAACAAATGTAAAAATCTTTATTATAAATTAAGGCTTCCTTAGTCTAAATCAGTAGTTGCCAACCTTTCTGACCTCATGGATCACTCAACTCACAATTCTGAATCCTGTGGACCAGTATCATGAATTTCTTTAATAAACCAACAAATGCCTAAATAATCAAACTATAATATGACTATAATTAAATAATGAATACAAATGAATTTGGTATATATATACCAAATTTGAAAAGTTATTTTAAAAAAATTTTAAATCTATTATTCATTTTATACCAAAAGAAGCCTTACAACACATACAACTATTGATGTTAATTTTAAATCCTACAAACTTTAATTCAAGTTTGACAAACATTTTCAATATAATAAAAATATATTATGTATATTTTGGAATTAGAATATTAAGCTTTCTAGACCTGAAGCAGATCTATTATTAGATCAAAAACATTTGTCAAACTTGAATTAAAACGGTTTTTCCATATAGAACGGTTTTTCCAGTTGGTATTTCCTGAGGAAGACTGATAAATTTAGTGGCCGTTCAATATGTGTTTTTGACTTTTATTTGCTGGAAATTTTGAATTTAGGTGTGATTTGCAAATATTACAGTTCCAGTTTATGGTGAGGTTGTATTTAACTTACAGGATTTAAAATTAACATTAATAGTTGTATGTATTGCAAATGATTCACCCAAAATCAGCACAAATTAACTAAAATAATAATTTACTAATTAAAAATAAACACTGCAAGAACCTAATGAACCACGATTCTAATATTAACCAGTTGTAAAGTAGCAGTTCTTAATTTTACTAATGTTTAGGAAAACTGAATTTGTTTTAATTTTAATTTGTTTGTTTAGCTCTACTTTCTAAATATTTTACCTAAAGATGTCTTGAATTATGAAAATGAAAACATTAGTGAAATTACTATTTTGAGTGTCGATCTTCATTTACATGATTTTTTTTAAATTGATCTTTAAAACAATTTTCTGTCTCTGAAAAGCAACATATATCATATGTAATATAACATTATAATACAAAATCCAGAAAATATTTTTAAGAGAAAAGATTAATAAAAAAAATTATCACTAGTTAAAACATTTTTGTTGATATGCAGGTTGTCTGAGTTGAGACTGACATATTTTGAAAGACTATAAGTAAAATTTGGTGAGAGCTACAATAAAAGTAAGGTATGCAATTTGAAGACAAACTAAAGTTTTATTGCAAAAATCAACATGGTTCTGCTTTTACTTTTTTTTTTTTTTTTTATCAAACTTATAAAATCTTTGCACAAACTCTTCTTATTGCACAGAGAAGATCTGAATAATAATCAATTTCCTACCATGTGTTCTGCAACACTTGTGTAACAGAAGCAACAGCGTCCTGTATGTGCACTGAAAATTAATTAAGGTGATTGATTTTACTGCCAGCATAAACCTTATCCTTCATCTATCCCTATAGGAAGAAGTCTGGCAATGTAATGTCAGGATCATGAGGCTATGGAACACAACTAATTTCTTCACACAAGTCAACTAATTTTAGAGAAACGCACAGAGTAACTCTTTGTCATGCAATGCAATGTGTTAAATGCATTTGTCCTTTATGCACAAATTTTGTTGGTGATTTAAAATGTCAGTTTTAATCCAGACACTCTACATTTTATATTGAGGTTCTGAAATGAAGAGTTATTTTTTAGGCAGAATAAGTGTAAAATTGAATATTATTATTCAGGGTTAATATTATGAATAATGTCTATAATGTTACATTAATAGCATTAGAACAACTGCAATCTGGGTAATTAATACTTCATGTTAAATTTTTAATAATTTTTTTTATAACGTATTTTATAGTAGCAATATAAAAGTTGAAAGAATGACACTTGCCATTCATATATAAATATAATTAATTAATAATCATTCCGAATCTTAGAGTATAAAGAATATTATTATTTAAATATTCTTTATACTCTAAGATTCGGATACTCTAAGATATAGTAGTAAAATTAATAATTATCATTAATCATATTATAATTAAATTCAACCTTTTTCGTCATTTGATATATGATTATAAATAGATATTTGTCTTCCATGAATCTCTCTCTTGTATTGTGGCTTGTACAAATGTGGATTTTCAAAGAATGATAAAGGAGAATCTATTTTAAATCTCTCAATTGACAAATGCAGTACTCAGATATACTTAATTTATTTAATGCAGCTCTCCACGTTTTGTTCTTCAATTAATTTAATTACAAGAATTAAATGTAATTTCTCTAAATTAGCTATTTAGTGTAGCTGTTTATTAATAGTTATCAGGCTATGATTTATCATAACCTGGTTAGTGATTTCTATGGCCAATAACAGTATAAATATTCAGACATTAAATTAATATTGGTGTTTTGCATTTGTTACTCTCCTTCTTTCATGTTGCTTACTTTAATAATAATAGAATTGAAATAAAACTTTGAGAGTAAAAGATTTTGAAAGTTTTCTTTTAATAGTTAAAGACAGTGCTGTCCAACTTATCATAGCCCGCGGGCCATATTTTCTTCACCAAACATTTCGGGGGCCAAGAAGGTTGCTGCTGTATTCAGCCAGGTTAAGTGAAGTTACGCAAACTAAATAGTACCTACTTTAAATTCAAATTAGATTTAAATTTTCACATAGTAAAATAATTTTAATATTAATAATAATAATTTAGTAACATAAATTTATTTATAGTAAAATGTACTCGCGGGCAGTAAAAATTATTTGGCGGGCCGTACACAGCCCGCGGGCTGCCAGTTGGACAGCCCTGGTTAAAGAAAAAACTTTCTTTGAAAAAATTAGCCTGTTTGGACAAGAATGCTATAATTTGAAGATAACTTTTTTCCTCTTTCTTTTGATGATTGGATGGCTGAGGAAGTTAGGTGTCAGCTGACTGCTTTACAGAACCCTGAATCAAATCAATGTGAGCAACTTACCAGGAGTTTTTTCATGAAGTAAACTCTCCCAGATATATCAAATGTCATTCCTCACCATCCAGCCAGCCCATTGTGAGCCTGGCCAAAATTTATGGAGGTTATTGAAAAAAGCTAGAAATAAGGTAAAAGGTCCATGAGGCAGAAGGAGACAAAAATAAAAATAAAAACTTCTCTTAATTATTAGTTTAATATTTCCTTATTGTTATATAAATATGGATTTTTTTAATTATTATTCAAATACTTTTCTCAAAAAGAAAATAAAAACTGAAAATTTGTTTGTAAAATGTTAATTCTTAGATTCATAAAATGCTCTATAAATTTACTTAACTTGAAATATAAATAAATTACTGATATTAAATATTTTATATAATTTCACAGATGCAGAGTATTTTTTATCACAGTTTTAGTGGGGAAGGTGTATTTACAAAACGATTAAAAGTCAGAGACATTCATCGAGCAATAACACTACATCCAATTAAACAGCCATTATATTTATATCGACTCCATAATTATTTTTTAGGATTGCAATCTCAAGAACTAAGATATAAAATTTTACATCTTAATCGTGAACTTCAAGATATGCTAAAATATATACGTGAAGATAATCCATCAGAAGAAATTCCACTTATTAATGACACTTCTATTCAAGGATCAAGACCTGATTTAAATAGATTTTACCCAAATAATTCTGAAGAAGTTTTGATATGGGATTATCTAAGTAAGAATATATATTCTGCATATAGTTTAAATCCAAAACGTCGAATGGAACTACATCTGCAAACTGCAATAAATGATACAATTATGGAAGTAATGGAAATGATTAACAAATTTTCTAAACAGCGTGGTCGGATTATTGATTTCAAAGATTTATTATATGGTTATATTCGTGTTAATCCCCTTTATGGGGTAGATTATATATTAGATATGTTACTGACCTATAAAAAATATCGTGGAAAGAAGATGACTGTTCCTGTAAGAAGACATGCTTATTTATTTCAAGCTTTCTCTGAGCCTGAAATAAGAGAGATCAAAGAGGAAGAATTTGAAACTTCTGTTCAATACAGAGGGTCTAATATTGACAGATATTCAACAGGAACAGTAATTCATTTCATTTTACCTCTGAGTGGAAGAGTAAATACTTTCAAACGATTCTTAAAAAATTTTGAAGATGTCTGCTTGAAAACGGAAGAAAATGTTGAATTAGCTGTCGTGTTATTTAGTGATGGTTCTCCAGATGATGCTACAGAAACAAAAACAGTATTTGAAGATCTTCGAAATCGTTATCCTAACTATTTATTGAGATTGGTTGAAGCAAGTGGGCTATTTTCTAGAGCATTAGCTCTAGAAATTGGTGCAAAGCTTTATTCATCAAGTGCCTTACTTTTCTTTGTGGATGTTGATATTATTCTTGATAATAGTGTTTTAAGGAGAGTGCGCATGAATACTATAAAAGGTAAACAGGCATATTTTCCAATAGTGTTTAGTGAATATGACCCCAGGTTTATACAAAATGCTTCTTCTTATGAAACTACACATATCAATAAAGATCGGGGTTACTGGCGGCAGTTTGGCTTTGGTATAGTCAGTCTCTATCATGGTGACTTGCAAGAAGTTGGAGGATTAGATACAGGAATCCAAGGATGGGGAAAAGAAGATGTTGATCTATACAACAAAATTGTGCACAGTAATATAACAGTATTTCGTGCTGCTGATCCCGGTTTAATCCATCTCTTCCATCCAATTGAATGCAGTCAGCAATTAGAGAAAGCTCAGTATGACATGTGTCTTGGCAGTAAATATTCCAGTTTAGCATCAGTGGAGAGATTAACTGAGATTATCATGGCAGATTTAGAATCCTATGTGAAAACAAGCAACTAATGATTCATTTTGTTATTAAGGATCTCAGTTGAAATAATAAATACATTTAGTATATGTATATTATTTCAAATTGATGGCAATTATTATTTACCAAAGATCTTTAATCCTATAACGATTAGCAGCTACTTTGTATTTATACAAATTCCAAATATTTACATCCTGTTGAGAGCTTTTGTTTTACTATTATTTACTGTTGTTTTGTGCCAATTAATGTTTGTTATTTATAAGTTAATGAGGTTGCCATTTTTAGTGCCTTTAATGATTGTAAATATTGTTATATTTCAATATATAACTGGAATTTGATAAAATAAAAAAATATTTTAAAAATAATTTTTTGTATTTGTGTTTGTTAATTTACATAGATTTGTATGGCTTTCAGTTTTAATCATATTTCAGCTTTATTTTGACAATTAGACATATTGCATTTCTAATTGATTGAAGATTATGCTACAATTTTTTTCTCCATTAAAAATCCATCCTTTGATATAGCTTCCACATTTATCATCATTTCATTAACAGATATTCTAAATAATGTCAGTGAATAATTGATTTTGCTAAAATTATATTTTTCTATTTTGTAACAGTTAATATTATGTTTAAGAATATTATTTAAGATTATCAAGCTTTGTATATTTTCATCTTTAGCATATACAATATATTTCAAACAATTATACTATTTCAGTATATAAAAATTAATTTAAAAAATGTGAATATTCATAAAACACTCAAATACTTGAATACTGTAGATAATTTAAATATTTTGTAATAATCAGGCAAGATAAAAAATACATAAAGTGAATAGAATATAATCATCAATTTACTATTTTATAAACAATTATAGTTTTTAAAGTACAGTATATTTTATTACTTGCTTAGTTTCTTATATAAGAATTGTGTTTATATTGAAATTGAAAAAAGGTGCATAATATCCACTTATTGTCCACAAGATAGGAAAAATTATTATGAAAATAACATCAAGTTTTGTGTTTACTATGTCTTAATTTGAAATAGAGAAGTTACTACTAATCTTTGAGGATTGGATTATCAGTTTTTAAATGATGGAAATATCTAATTTTATTAGATTTTAATTATAATAAATTTATCATCATCATCCTTTAAATTACAAGACAGTGAAAAAAGCAAGAAGAGTGTACCAATAGTATTCAATATATAACAAATATGAAATTAAGATATTATTATACAAATTGATTTATATCAGGTTGTAAAAGTAAAATTTAGATATTTTGATTTTTCTAGAATTCTTTTCTAGAAATTTCAGAGAGCTCTCTGCCTTCCCGTCGATGGCTTCTTTCTTCGCTTCTAGTGGGATTTAAAAAAGCGGGAATCAGAGAGCTCTCTGTCTTCCCGTCGATGGCTTCTTTCTTCGCCCCTAGTGGGCTTTAAAAAAGCGGGACTCGGAGAGCACTCTGCTTCCTGTCAATGGCTTCTTTCTTCGCCCCTAGTGGGCTTTAAGAAAGCGGGAGTTAGAGAGCTCTCTGTCTTCCCGTCGATGGCTTCTTTCTTCGCCCCTAGTGGGCTTTAAAAAAGCGGGACTCAGAGAGCACTCTGCCTCCCGTCGATGGCTTCTTTCTTGTTCTGAGCGAGCATGAAGAAGGGTATACAGTATACAACGTTTATAACTGTGACGTAGTACTCCTGAATTGCCGAGTAGAATGAAAATGAAATGCTGAATGGTTTTACGTTAAGACTTTCTTCTTGATTATAATTCACGTTCTAACGCCGACCCCAAGTTTGAGACTGAAAAAGTGAAAATACATTTAATTATTAATTTTTCAGATACAATAAATTCAATACACACTGAATAATTTTAATCTGATGAAAGAAATTCTATTCAGAAGGAAATTTTAACAAATATGAAATATAAGTTTTAATGTTATACTGTAATTTAAATAAAAAATTTTCAATTCGTAAAACGTGACTTCCGGTACAGGCCGGAAATTCGTGTACAATTAATGGGGCCTCTTTCTGGCATCTAAAATCTTTTCATATATGATCTTGATTTTCATCAATATCGCTCCATTCTTGAGATTAATTCACGAAGTACGGACGGACAGACAGTTGTATCGCGCTTTATTCCATTTTGATTTTTTATAAATCAAGTATAATAATTTGCTTACATTACTGGTTTACTCAATTGCGATTCTTCCGGAAAATCTGAAAAAAGGAAGGAAAAAAACCCACGGAACTTTTTGGAAAAATTGGAAAAAATCGGCTACCTACAATAGAAAAAGGAAACAATACATTCTAACAACGCGTTACGTATTGTTAGAATATATTTTTACGTCACGTGTTATGTAAAAATATTTAATCGGTTTGAAATATTTCACTTAAAAAGTTAAAATAATCCTGTTTTTCTAATAAATAAAACTATAAAAACGAAATTTACATGTGTCGAGTTATTCAGTTATTGTAAAGTAATAGCATCTATATTTATGAAAGTCCAAACAGGAATTTGTAATAATTGTGTCTCTTTGCACGCCACGTAATGCACCAGAAGGTCTTAAAATCGCTACTGTTCCTCCCAAAGGCTCGCAGTGGCTTACAATTTTCAGTGTACTTGGTCTGGGGAGGCATTCGTATGACAGTTGACCAGCCCTAAAATGGTGCTAGAGACATTGATGGCACAGCGAAGGAAATCCTACGTCTTCATACATTGCTTTTCATGACAAGGCTGCAAAGATTATGCTAGGCGGCCGGTTTCCCACGAATTCTCTGTCACGTTTTCCATACTTCTTCCACCTAGTCTTCGTAGATAAGTGGCCGAATGATCATTGAGCATTTGTGGAGCCACATAAGACATTTATTTTTACCGTCAGAAATCGGGAGCGGCACTTAAAACGCTGTAGTATTCAACATGGATTAAGCTCAAGGACTTTAAACTACATATACTGTAGTTTAAAGTCCTTGACTACTGACCAGCGCTAACAGACTACCTATTGTTTAAAACATAAAATATATATATATATATATAATTGAATCGTAGCAACGTTGTAGAACATATTATATAGCTGAAGTAAGTTATCTTATATGTTGACAGTATCATAACTAATTATTTCAAGGCAACATAGTTATTTATATTATAGGGAAAAGTATGTGTTATTACACATTTCTTTTTCTTTTAAATTTTGATTAATAACTCTTAAGAGAAGTACATCGAAAACAAGGATAATGAGTTTATTTAAAGTAACTATAGTTAATAGAAATATGTAACAACTAAAGTAGCAATTAATAAGGATAATACAAGAGTGATGTCATAAGATTAAGCAGAAAACTAGGTGTTAGTTATGAAATATAGAACAAAAATAATTACTATGAATAAAATATTTTTCTTCATACCCCCTAGTGGGCTTTAAAAAAGCGGGAATCAGAGAGCTCTCTGCCTTCCCGTCGATGGCTT